ACAAAGGGCCTGGTCCCTCTAAGAAAATACAGGTCATCATGGCGGCAAATAAAGAATCATTTCAAGCAGCTCCTGACATGCCTGTTCTTGCACAGAAATTAATGAAGGGATAATCACAGTAGATGAAAGAACTTATTTGACAGTATGATGTAGGGGAAGCATGAAAGATTCGAGGAGCAATGCTTACCTCTGTCACATTCACTGAAAGATTTGCAGATAAGTTCAACTCATCTGAATGGGCTAAAACTGCTAGTCCTATCATTTCATGTTAAGCTCTTGCAGTTTATGCCTTCTAGGGTGACATTCTATGCTGTATTCAAAGGAAAATCCCTCTTGGACTTGGCTTTCCCCAACTTTGTGTATCATGTGATGAGATTCCCTTTAAAATAGCATTTTTTATTCTTTATTTTGGTAGTACTGTGGTTTGAACTCAGGGTCTCATGCTTGCTAGGCAGATGCTCTATCACTTGAGCCACTCCTCCAGCATGAGATTCCCTTTACATGGCCTCCAGACTATTGATTATAGGAGTAACAGTCTGTAGGCCTCAAGTTGTAAATGATTTTATGAAGATGATGTTCAGTGCTGGGTTGCACTTTGAATAAGCGTGTCTGCTAGTCAGGAAGAGTTAGAGGGAGAGAAGCAGCTTTGTGGCTAGCACATGCCTGCACCCAGTTTGCATCATTGAAAGGAGCATTGTGCCTTCTTCCAGGCAGCTGGTACAGCAGCAGCAACCCTCTCTGGTCCAGCGGACATTGCTGAACCTGCTGGGGTTTGCTAATGGAATAGCTGCCACTTTCTCAGGAGGAAGAAAATAACTATGCTCTCTTTTCTCTTCCCAGTTCCTTCTAGCTAGAGACCTGCCTTCTTTCCACTCCACCCCAGTCCAAGGGGAGTGAAAGGTAGCAATTAATGATTAACCTGTTTTCCAATTCAAGGCAGAAGAGCAGTTTAAAATTAGAGTCTTGCAATATATCACGATTTGCCAAGATGACATAGTCCAAGCACATATGATTCATTTTCCCCTGGTATATTCCAATTGGATTTGCTGCTAAGATTTCTTTATCTCTAGCCTTTCTTTGTACAAGGCAGGAATTTTACAGACAATTCAGGCAAATCCATCCTACTCCTACAACACTCCAGCAACATTTTGAATTACCAAGATGAATCAGACACAATCAAAGGATTTTTTTAAAGCATAATTATTCAAATAATTATTTCAGTCTTCCATTTCACTTAGACTGCGAGGATATGGCCTTAAAAGTCTTCCCAACCAAGAACAGCACTAAGGAAAGGATGCAGAACCAAGGAAGCCTCACCAATTCCCTCCACGGCTCCCAGTCAGTCCTAGACATCTGAATGCACTTCAGGACCTTAAGTAACCAGGTAGACGAATCCTTAACAATTCAAAATTCCTATTTGGTGATTATTCATTTGGTTTAGCAAAAATTCGTATTTTAAAATATTTTCCTATTTTAGAAGTATTTATTTTAGGATTTAAAATAAAGAGAATTCCTTTCGTATACGTATGATGATCTGATACATATCTAACTTTAAGAACTATATCAGGTTAAATGTAATCATACTTTGAATAGCTATTCATTCCAAGATTTCTACTTAAATATCTTCTCCTGCCTGAATTATCATATAGCTCAAGAGGAAACTGGAGTGGGGCTAAATCCTGATAGACTATCTCTACTGTCCTCATTCCCCAAAACAATTCCCAATTCTCCCCTCACTGTTCACAGGAAGGCTGGGTGAAAGAAAAGACAGTACCATATAAAATTACCTTCCCTGGAACGCTTCATCACCTATACAATCAAGTCACCAGAGCAACTCATCAATTTATACTCCAAATCCAATTGCACAGGCAACCAAAAGGACCTCAGTCCTCCCTAATCTTTGTATTTTTCTTTAAACAAGGAAAGCTTATGTTAAATAGAGAGATTACTGAAAGAGTCTTCTTATAAATTCATGAATGCCACTTCACAGACTGTACAGAAAGCAGGGCACTATGAACCGGTACAATGAAGTCAACTCATCTTTTCTAAAAGCTCAGCCTCAGCCATAAGGAGAACTTAAATTGCTCCAATTCCTAGGTCTCTGTTAAAACATAATGAGTCCATGCTTATGCCACTGTAAGTCCATGGCAAACACATGCTGGGAGGCAAATTTACTGTGTAGAGAGGACAATCATGTTGGAAAAAAGGACTTAACCTTGATATTGGATTAAATAATTTAGCTTTTCAAACTAGTCAGTAGGATGAGGATCCTACTCATTATCACTCATTCTGAAATGTTTTTTTTCTCATTGACACATCTGAATCAAGACCTTTAAACAGAATTCCTAAATCAATACTAAGGAGTAAAAAATACAGTCCTCAGTCCTAGAAATTAAAATTTAGCAAAAAGCCAAATATAAATAAAAATCTCTTCAGCACTAATTGAAAAAAATAAACAGGAGAATGTTTACTGGAAAACCGAAAAAAATTGGAGAACAAGTTATTAAAAAGAATATTCTGGCCAACTAAGATACAGAAAACTATACTCAAAATGACTGCTTGTAACAGTGTTCTTGGGTTGTACAACCCCAGGTGTCACCATGCACACACCATGATCCACGTGAATGGCACCTCCTGCAGTTGTACTCAAAGAGGCCCCCATACAACAAGCTGTGAATAGTGCCTCATGCAAGTGAACAGGAGGCTGCTGGCCAAATTACTGTTAGCAGACATTATCATTTTAAGATACATAAGAGTCCAGTATTGAATCAATCTGCAGCATTCTGGACTCTACCCGTCAATTTCTGGATGAAGTTGATGATAAATTTGTATTTGGGAATAATGTTTTACATTATTTAAATGTAAATATAAGGTTAAGCAAAAAGCTATGAATATGTCTATTCTAGAGGTGGCAAGGAGTTAAATCTGCTTACCTCACAGTAGTTTCTATTGTATGTGACCAAGCCTTTACTCTAAGTAAAGCCAGACAGAAAGATCTGCAAAGTAATTCCAGTTTTAATCAAGAAAAGGAAATTAACTTCACTTTGCCAAAAAGGAGAGGTACAAGATGTCTCTCATATTAGCTCTTTAAACTTGCACAAACACACACACACACAAATGGAAACTTTTGTATAACATTAGTATGTGCAAAGACTGTTAAGAGCTCAGAATAAAAGAATTGCTAGAAAGTTACTTGGAATCACCCACAGACAATAACTGTCAGTGGTTTCATTTCAACCAATGAGCTTGTGCCAAAAGGGACTGACATCTTGATGAAAGGATCACCAAAAAAGTTGTGAGAATTTTTTCATGAGTAAAAATTCTTCCAAAAGCAACAAATTGTGATTGCCCATTCTGCCACCATACATAAATGGCAACGTTAAGAAATTAACATGTAATATTAATTTGCATTTGCTTTTCTACATTCAAATGGTTCCAACTCTCATTCTCGGCTTTGGCACACATGCTTGCCTTCTACAAAGCTCATTCCACTCCCTACTACAGAAACATGATATTTACTCTCTGATCTTGAGCTATAGAGCTGGTTTTGGCAGGGTCAGAAGTCCTATTCATGTTTAACTAAAATTGTCTGACATATTGCAACATATAGCTTTCATGTCTATCTCTGGTGACACAGAATAGGTAAGGTTTTGGAATGCACAACTAGGAGGCAAGGTGATGTGTGTACTAGCAGCAGAAGAATGAAGTAAACAAAAATACTTCACAGCACTCCATTTTATTAGCATCCTATTACTCTATGACAATGGCTAATCAGGAATTTAATATGAAGCTAGGAACCATTTGCACAAGACCTATTGATTAGTTGAATTTTATGTTCACCTCTTTGTCTTTCTACCCCAAGTTCCTTAATTGGATCATCATCAAACTGGTCCTCGAAAGACCTATTTATTTAGTGCTTTGACACCACTTGTTGAAATGACAGGTGAGGCATACATAAAAAATAAAAAAGCTTACTTGTTAATAAAAGGTAACCTGAACTCATTTAATTGCCTCTGATTCATTTTTCGCCTTGGAAGCTTATTCTTGAATTGTTCTCAAAGAAAACATGAAGTATATTTGATTCAATTTTGATTCACCAAAATTCCACCCTCATTTAAAAAAAAAACCTAAAACTAAATTTGGAAATCACACATTTTAAGTGGCAAAGAGGTGTTTTAAAGAGCATGAACATCTGCAGTAGGGCATGCTATACTTAAAAAGTTTTCTATTATTTTTTAAGTTCAACCTTGTTTCTTTTCAAAGAGGAAATTTTTCATAGAGCCTTAACATGCTTCTTCAGCCACTTTTACTGCATATTCTCTCTGTTTCTTCATTTAATCAGAAGTCAAACACTAACCTGTCTTTCTTTGTGAATATAATCCTTGTCAGAAATAGTTCTACTTTTATTTAGAGATTAACATGTTTGACTTCTAAAACTGAGTAGATGTCTCTTACAAAGTCACAAACCAGGAAAAAAGCAATAGTATATTTCAATAACAAAAGGCAAGGTATATTAATTTAAAATTCATATTTTCACATATACTGCACTCAAGGACAGCATACACTGTAGTTGACTAGCTGGACAAAGACTCAAAACTTTGGGTAAGTTCTGGCTCTCTATAATGGAAGACCCATTGCTTTGTTTGAGCCCTCCTGCCACCACCCTTTTCATGCATGTCACAACATGTCACTTGTCTTCTTTAAGAAGAGTTCTGCTCTTTAACAGAATAGTTTCTGCTGCTAGTTAAATTTTGCTCCAAAAGAGAAATTTTATTTCTCTATTCAAAATGACTGCAAATCAAAAGATCTAATTCACCACATCCAATTCACATAAATTGCTGTACTGCAAGGCACCCACATGCTGGAGATAGAACCTTTCAAAGGTCAGATGGGGTAGGAACAATGAAGAGTTGGGGCGGGTGAAGGTAGGTGGTTGATATTTATATGTAATAAAGACTGATAAGAAGCTATGAGAATCTTCTCTGATAACCAAGTCTTACCATTTTGAGAATCTTAATAGTCGGACTTCTATTCTCCCTCTCTTCAGTCTAGGGAGACCAACCTGCAAAATATGTTTAAATACAGTAGACACATTGCCTCATCACAGGTCAGCAAATGAAAATGGTCTCTTCTGAGGTTACAGACAAACAACCACTCTCTGAGGTTAAGATAAGTTACACGCAAATTATCATAACCACTGGGGTTCCTGAAAGAGCTTCCCAAGTGGTCTATAGGTTTAAATAAGTGACAAAGGACTCCCTGGTACCTGGTTCTGCAGAGTCCTGGGCTGTTCTTAAGAGTCTAGTTCACCTTTAAATTGCAGGAGTTCAAAAGGTTTAGCAACTTAAAAGTAGAATCAAGTGATAAAAATAGATTGTTTTCTGGCTGCTCTTTGTTCCCAGATATACTACTGGCAGTATATTTGCAATCAAGACAGCAGAATAGGAATCAGCCTTCCACCGTAGTGTAATGCCTCAGAGTGGATATTTTTGGAAATGGCACTGCATTACATAACCTTCCGTGTTTAAAACCTACACGGGGGGGAAAAGTCAGGAATATACACCATTATGCTCTTCTTCCTAACCAAATAAACATTAATGGACATGCTGTCATGATTTACCCTCAAGCTTTATGCCATTAGCACACAGTCTCTTTTGTTAATATAAGTTATGACAAAAATTAAGATGAATGGATAAACTAAAAGTTCTCAAAAAGGGTGTCATAAGCTCTTAGAGTTTTCCTATAACGTTATTATAGATACATGTAAATGCAAATCAGGTTATTATCATCACCAAGAAAAAAATAGCCATTTATTTTTAAGCTCCTCCCACCTTAAGTTCTACTGCTTTATTAAGAAAATGCAGAAAAAAAGTGTTGCAAGATCGAAAGCATGAAAAGACCCGAAGCCCCAGCAGCATTGAAAGAGTAATCAAGTGTAAGGATGGAAGGATACAATTTCATTTTTATAAGGGGGGCGTCTTGCATGCACTGAAGTGCATTTAATGCAAAGAAACAAAACAGTTCCTAACAATGAGCAAGAACAAAATTAATCACACCAGCAAGCAAAACCCCACCCCTTCTCAAAAGAATTCATTTCTCCTCTTAACTTGTGCATTTGAAAAAAAAAAAAAAAGCTCAAGTTAAATTCCAGCCTTAATGCAGCAGGCGCAAAATGACAGAATTTCTCTAAGATACACGCTTCGGCTCCTTAAAATTTAGAGGAAAGAAGCATGAACTCTGCAGGGTTGAAGGGTCCAGCTAAGAGCAATGGCAAGGAATCCACACAAAAGAGAAAGCAGCGCTCCCAGCCGGGGATGAGAATGGCATATACTTACAGACAAAGCCCCGCTCCCTGTTCACTCTCTCCTCTCTCTACACCTGAAACACAAATGTGGATGAAAAAGGGCATCATGCTAGAAAGACAGATGAGAGGGAGGGGGAGGGGAAAGGGGAGGAGGAAGAGGAAGGCGGAGGGGGGAAGGGAAACAAAACCCCAAACCCGCTTCACTTCCAAGAAGTGCAGCCTTGGAAAAGAAGGAGGGGAAGGTTTCCCTGCCTTGCGCGCTCTCTCCAAGAGTGTGTCTTGTATCTCTCTCTTTCTCTAAATCAATCTCTCTCTCTCTCTCTCTCTCTCTTTCTCTCTCCCTCTCCTCTCTCTCCTCGCTCTCTCTCTCTCTCTCTCTCCCCTAGTGTAGTGAACAATGAGCTAATTCTGATGGGGCTGGCGCGGCGCCAGCACCCCAGCCTTGCTGCCACTGTGCTGCCGCCGAGGAGCCAGACTGCTTACTCGGCAGGAATCGGGGCCCCGTCGGCGAGCGGCCAACACGCGCGCGCGCGCCAGGCACCCGCACCCGGGCCCTGGTCACCCCGATTGCCGCGCTGCCCACACTGTGCAGCGGCGGGCCTGGGGGAGGCGGGGGTTAGGACAAAAGTGGACCCGCAGAGGGACACGCCGGCCCGGCCCCGCCCCAGGAGCGCGGCGTGCACACACCGCGGCCCGGCCTCCCACACCCTGGCGGGCTCCTTCGCCTCGACGTGCGGTTGCTTTTCAGACAAATAAGGAGGCGGAGGAGGCGGTTTGGGGGCGCGCCAAGCGCGAAGGCGGCCAGGGCGCTGCACAGCCCGGCAGCCTGCCAGGGCGGTGGGGAGGGGCGGTTCGGCCCGTACTGTAATAATAAACCTGCAGCAGAGGGCATCCGAGGGAAAGAGGACAGCGACGGGCGGCAGCCGCCTTCCCTTTTATGTGCGTGTCCTGAGCGGAGCAGAAAATGGTGCTCATGGAAGCACGGAACCGCGCACAAAGACCGCGCCGCAAGCGTTCGCTCACCGCCCGAGCGGGGCCCAGCGGCCCGGGCAGAGTGCGCGCCCTTCCCGCCATGGGGAAGCCCCGGACGGGGAGGTTCTGTGGCTGCGCGTGGCACACACGCGCGCGCACACACACGTGCACAGCCACGCGCGCGCTCGGACACACTCACACACACGTGCGCGCGCACAGAGAGCGAGCCAGCCAGAGCTGTGGCCTGGCGTGATCAGTGTAAGACATAGTGCTCTCGCGCTTTCTTCTTTCCTAAAGGATTTAACACGGTCCCCACTCTGCCCTTCTGAAACTGGACTTTTTAAAATTGTAGATTGCTTCTAAACGAAACAAACAGAAAACACTCAGATTTCTGATTAAAAAAAAACAAAACTCCTCTGGTCATGCGGCCAACAAGGCAGGAGGATATCACTTTATGGTAATTGTCAAATGGAAGAGGAGATTTTTTCCTAATTAAATCGCTTTGCCAAGAACAAAGATAGGAAGGATCCTAAAGTCTTCTAAATGTGCTATCTACATTTTACCCCTAGTTACTGAAACCATTATAACAAAGGAAGTAAGACAAATTTACAAAACTCAAAGTTTAAACATATGTTTACAGAATGCCTTATTTTTCAGATTCAAGTATACTGGGTACAAAAATAGCAAACTTTAAAAAAGCAGTAGTTCAAGCTCATAATTTAAAAAAAAAGAATAAATTAATTTCACTATAAACTTATTACAGGACTGTGTGTCCCTTTCAAACTACAAAAGCCACTGTAGCAACAAGTGTCTATTTAGACTATGCTGAGTGTGATGGGAGTTTTTGTTTTGTTTTATTTTTGAATAAGTATACATTAAATACGGAGGGATTTCACTGTGATAATTCCATACATGTGTACAGTGTACTTCAAATATGTTCACCCCTCCACTATATTCCCTCCCCCACTTTTCAAACAATGTTCTGTGGGTTTCATTATGCCGTCCTCATATGTATATATGAGGAATACTTTGATCCTCCTCGCCCCTCAGGATCCTTTTCTTTCCCCCTCTCCCTGAGTGTGTTTGCGCTCCCAGTGGGAGCTTCTCTGGATTTGTCCAAAACATCTATGTCGTTTTCCTGAAAAAAATAAACACTTACCTAGGAACCATGACAAAGAATAAAGAAGAAATGAAATTCAGTTAAGTTCCCTAATGCATTCAGGGTCAGTGTTCAAATGCAGGAAGTAGCCAGGAAGGTAAGTAGGAGGATTACACTGCATGTGGGAAAGGGAGAGGCTTGAAGCTGCTTCTCCTGACTACTATCCCAAAAGTCTGGTCAAAGTCACCTCACATGAAACTGTTGACATTCAGCCCAGAGTCAGGCTGGAAAAGAAACCCAAGGAAGACCATTACACCAAAGATTACCAAAATCTATCCCAGCAACATTTGTTCAAAAATTGACTCTACAAAGACACACACATACAGAGACCCACTGACATTAGTGTTTGTGCAAAACTTTCCTAAGATGTCCTTTCAAAACACAGAGAAATTAAAGATTTATTCTCTGTTAGTTTTTCTTCATTGTAACCATAGACATTTGGGTGACAGATTTTTAAGAATTAATACTGGCTTAAAATCATAGTTTATCTATTGTGTTCCAGAAAACAGGTATAATACAACTATCCAAGAAACATTCTTGAGTCCCTTCTAGGTATAGGGAATGGGGCCAATCACTTAAGGATAGAAAGGAACTCATACCATGTAGCCTCATCAGGAACTATAGAATAGCTGTTTCATGGTCCTCATATTTGCTATGTTCTGTCCTCTCCATCTATCCTGCAGATTATGCAAAAGACCCACTTTCCTAAAATTCCTTTTTAATTACAGCATAACCTGCTCTGTTATAAGATAAAGGACAAATTTGGCCTGAATTTGACCACAGAATCCAGTCTTAGCATCCATCTTTCTCCCAAAAATGGAATACTAGATCTTGGCTTCAGTCTGATTACTTAAGGCACATATTCATCCCTGTTCATTACCAGTCAGGAAGCAAAGTCACTCAAAGATTAGCTTAAACTGTTTCAAATCTTCAGTAATATTGACATTTGGAAAAGAATAAATCTTTGACAAAATGAGGAGTGGGTTGGGGAGGAAGCTGTCCTGTGCATTGTCGTCAGCTGGTTAGCAGCATCTATGGCCTCTGCCTACAGGAGGTCAGTAGCAAATCCCAGTTGTGACATGTGTGCAGACATTACCAAATGTTCCTTGGGGAGGCAAACTCACCCTCACTGAGAAACAGTGGCTTAAAAAACCAGCTCCATTCTTTGAGGTTGAAAGAGGTAGCCTCCCTTGATTTATGTGGACTGCATGGAAAAAGGACACAGACCACAACAAGGTTTTCTTATGAAAGATACAAGGAAGTAGGCACTGCCCTTATCATCGTGATGTTTGCAGTCTGGGGTTAGAAGACAGACAGTCATGACCAAGTTATGGTGAACTCTAATAAGGACAATTATAGAGTTCTGCACAGGGTACACTGTGAACACAGTGGCTCCTTTCTAAATCAAATCAGGAGTTCAAGGAAAGTTTCCTAACAGTGATGATGCCTAAGATGAATGTGTGAAGAATGAGCAAGAATCAGCAAATTGAAGAAGGGGAATGGGGCACTCCAAAATTAGGTATCTCCCTTTCAAAAAACTGTCCCTAAATCCCTGATCTGATTTAGAAAAGAGTTGTGTTCACAGTGTACCTGTGCAGAACTCTGCGCTTATCTTTATCTCACTGCATAGTAACTTTGACTTTATCTGTCTTCACCACTAGACCATCAATTTCATAAAGAAACAGTCTACAGTGGGTTTTACTGGTTGCTTACCTAAGATAATCATCCCTTTTCCTCTCAACAAAATGCTTATTTTTGTTATATCTCTACCCATACAACCCACAAGATCAAGGGGAAGTGACCCTGAAAATTACATACTATTATTTTAGCCAATATATTGAATTCCTTGTGTCTTAGAATGGGCTAGAGATAAGCATGTGACCTAAGCTAAACCAATCAGCATGAAGGGAAAGAACTATGTGGCATACTTTAAAAAGTTGAATGCAGGCCTTAAAGCAATACAAAACTATTAAAAAATGTAATCTGAAAGTGACATGAACTTTTTTTTACATCAAAGATTATTTTGAAAGCAATTTGAAGGATGGAATTGAGTAGAGAGAAGGGGCAGAACTGAGGGTAAAATTTATTAGAAGACTGAGTCACTCAAGTGAATAATGATGAATGACCCAAATTAAGATAGAGACCATGGGAAAGAAGAAGAAAGCAGTAATTAATTATGGAGGTGGGGTTGTAGGATGCAATATGGCCTTCTTACAGCATAAGAGATTGGGTAGAGAAACAAAATCTAAGATGATTTCAAATTTCTTGCTTTGTTCCTGATTGGATGATGATAGTCTCTTCTAAAACAAAAAATACAGGAAAAAAGTGAATTTGGACAGAAGTGAACGATGACAAAGTTCAATTTTGTACCTACTGAGTGTAGAGCCCACGTGGTTGATGTTCCAACAGACATCCTAAAATATTTTTCTTACTACCATGTTCCTTTCCTCATGCTTCCTTTGTGTTATGGACAGAATGAAACCCCCTCTGCAATTCATATGCTCAAGCCCTAACCCCCACTACATCAGAATGTGACTATATTTGGAGACTGGTTCATTAAAGAGATACTTAAGATTAAATGAGATCATATGGTTGAGACTTAATCTGAAATGACTCATGTCTTCCAAAGAAGAAAAGATGAGGACACAGAAACACCCAGAGCGAGAACCTTGTAAAGACACAGTGAGGAAACAGCTACCTACAAGCCAAGGAGAAAGACAGACTTTTGGAGAAACCAACCTAACTGGCATCTTAATCTCGGATTCCCAGATTCCAGAATTAAAACAAAATAAGTGATTGTTGTTTAAGCCACCTACTCGGTGGTACTTTGTTATTGCAGTTATACTAAACTAATATACCTGCCTTGCACCAAATAAGAAAAATAGTAAAGGATTTGTCATATTTGTGCTTGTCATCAGATTTAGAATATGGTACAAAAGAAGACATTGTACAAGGAAAGAACCTGAAGCTAAACAAGCCATATCCTACCAAGAGCCAGGCTTTGTCCAAACCCAGAAGGTCACTTGAATACATGTGTGAAAAGTCAGTTATGGGGGTTTGATTGAAATTCGTGGTCCATGGTCTTCTGAACAACATTCCAAAACACAGAAGGAAAAGGAAACCGATTTGCAATTGACCCTGTCTACTTGCCACTTTCCAGCTGTATTTACACAGCTGCTGAAGGCAGCACAGACTACAGAGTCTCTACTTCACCACTCAGAAGCTCACACCAAGAATATGTTCAGAAAACTGCCTTCATATTTGAAGATAAGGTCAGACCCAAGAGGGAACACAAACTACCAAGAACTGAGCCACTGGCATTGAAGACATTGGCAATGAGAGGAAAAATAGGTGAGAACTTAGAGAATTGTGAACTATGAATGCAGGATGACTTATAAACTACATGTCTGTAATATAACAATGAAAGAAGCTTTGAAAGGTAAAGGAGAAGTGTAAGAGGTGAGAAACTTTTGAAGAT